AAAAACAAACGTTACCCGTTTATATACGGTTTTTTTACAAATGCCTTACAACCAACTCATCCACAGCACATTATCTAGTACCACTGAAATCATGGTTCAGTTTTAACTCCACAGAAAATCTAGATGTATTATTATAACAATCAGTGTAACGGACTGAGCGCTGATAGTGTAACAATCTGTGTTAAAGTCGTAATACATTATTAATATATTGATCAGCAGTGTGCTAATATTGTACATATCACAGGATCAACCTAAATATTCTATCAGGTAGGGAGGTGCGGTTTTTCTGTTCTTTAAAATGTAATTAACAAGTATTAACCCATGAGAAACCTAAAGTTCGACTCTTGGTTGAAACGACAATCAAAAGTATTTCAGAACCTTGATCTATGGTTAGTACGATGTTTCATATTTCTGACCACATGCAACGTTTTACGCAACGAAAATATATTAATTATTGACAAACAAATCAAGATCAGAAAAAAAAACAGCAAATTTAAGACGTTATTTGTCCAATTGATATGATAACAGGCGGTGAAAATGACATGGCGAGTAACTGCTGCAGTAGAGAGCCGAGCATACATAAGCAATCTATACATATACCATACAAACGTTTCGTCATAACTTATACATGTAAATTAGATAAGTTAAAAATTGTAAATTTAAAAAACTACAAAAAAGTAAGGAAACATGGCTGGAGATACTATAGACCAGACATTCCCAACCTGGGGTACATTTGTACTTCTCAGGGGGTACTTAGGTGTCTGAGAGTATAATCATGGTTTACAATTTACATGGTGTTTTAATCTACAGTCACAAAATGAGAGCAAAGTGGCTCACCTAAATATACGCCGAGTTCAATTTATCGATGTTATCAATACTATAAGATCCTAATGCAGTCCACACATACAGATTTCATAATAAAATTAATATAATTTTTTCAATTTTTGATCCTTAATTTTTAGGGTACATGGGAACCTGTCAGAGTGTCCAAGGCCAAGGGGTACAGAGGAACAAAAAGGTTGGGAATCCCTACTATAGACATTACTTACTCAAACTACAAACCCATATTTTTGGCTCCATGATATTACCTATTAATAGAATTACCTAAAGACACCGATTACACAGTATATAAAGCATTGAGTATCTACACGTTAGAGTCATCTAATGTTCATTTATTATTGGCTAGTAATTCCTGTTTCACCCTGTACTTAAGCTTTTTAAACGAACACCATATATTTGTAAGAAAGCTAACTTCAAGGGGTAATGATAACATAGTTTACACAAGAATTATGATGTTTTTTAGCTTATGTAAAATATAGAAGTAACAAATCGACTTTTCAATACCCCTACGACCTTTGTAGTACTTTATTTAGTATTCTACAAAATATTTGACTGCAATATGCCAAGCAGTTTTTGTTGTAGGCTGGCAAGAGAATAATAATAAGAAGAAGAATTACAAACGGACCGTTTTGAGCGGATTTTTCTTTGGTTTTTGTGCATTTTAATAATCGTACAGCCTTAGCAGTCAACAGTAAAGGTTTTAAAGTGTTGTTTGAACTGAATCTTTGCTGTTTAAGGTGCTTTATGCCCGAACGTTCTATTAGGGTTTTGTGCAATTTCTTGCGACCCCTATAATGAACCACTATTGTGGTTCATGATATATCAGTCCACAACGAGGTCAAGTATCATCGACTGTCCGTGCGTCAGCTTCACAAAATAGTATAGGTTTATGTACTATATGGCAAGTCAAAGGTTAAGGTCAAATGCCAACATGGTACATAAGATGAGGTGTTGAACTCCGGCTTGATTGGCACAAACGAGAATGGCGATACATTCCTCCTAAATGAGATACCAGTCTATTATAGTTTAGCCCCCAGCTAATAGCTAGTAGTACAGCTAGAGCAGGATAAGCTGATACAAATGGGGTAAAGCGTCTTGCTCAAGGACGCAACAGCACGATACGAACCAGCCTCGAACCCGCGACCATATGACTAGAAGTCCAAAGCTCGAAGCCACGCTGCCCTACTTATAAGGTAGAGGGCAACTTTATTTTCTTTAAGCTAATGAGTAGTTAGTGTGTGACGCCAGAAAACAACAACAAAAAACAAACAAACAAAAAACAGTTGACCCTTCCTTAGCTGGTAAACAACAAATGTTTAATCACATATAATCTGGAATTTTTCTAAAATTTCGTGCAATGTTTTGTTTGTAATTAGTGATATCCTTATAAACGTATGCAAAGAGGTCGTAAATTTATGCTAATCCTCTTGCTTAGGTAAAGATTACATATCACAACGATTGTTCTTAAGGATATATTCTTGCTCGTCCTGTTTCATTGTCATGCTCTCCTGAATAGCGATCTTATTCGGTGACGAGATTCGAAACCGTGACAGATTACTACTCGAGCGACCTGATCACCAGGTCATGCCTGCTCATGCTCTCCTGAAGTGATACAGCAATATGTACAAGCTCGATCCGTTTGATTTTATTTCCCAGCAATAAATCAAATGGGAATGATCATTGGTGAAGGTAACTTAACATTGAGGGATACCGCACTAGGGCTTTGTTCTGATTTGACTATGTAATACTCCTAAGAACTTACGAGTGAAAGTAAAGAATGTATAGCAATACACCAACTACACATTTCGCCGAGTACCAGGGCTCATTAGGTTGAAACGTTATTTATATTATCAAATTTTATGAATAATAACTGGTACAGTGCAAAATAAATGGATCTGATGACGTTTTATTATTATATATTTTATATGAGTCATTGAGATATCAGAATTAGGGTAAAGATTAACAGCACAATATTATTTATCTATATTAAAACCAATAACTTATATATATATATATA